GGTAAGGGCCGGCTTGGCTGGCTTCCTCAGCCGCGGGGCTCGGCCCCTGTGGCTGGGTACTGCTGTCCTGCCGCCTCCCTCGGAGGTGGAACGGCTCTGATGGGGGAGAGCCCCCTGCGGGTGGACGAGCCGCCGCCTCCTCGCATTTGTGGCCGTTGTCGTAAGCAGGTCAAAAATCAAAAAAGAAACCAAAAAATGGAGGAACAGAGAAGGCGGAGGAAGAGAGCACGAACTGCAGAAGTAGAGATGGAGAAGTGGGATGGAGCTTGAAACTAGTCTGTCAAAAAGAGGGAAGAAAGAAAAACCTAAGCGAGCGAGACCCTAGAGAAGTGCCCTAAAATGCAGTGAGAGGGTGGCATCTCTGTTTCATAGTTACCGTAAGCCCTACGCTCTGTGACACAAAGTCTCACCGGACCGGGAAGTAGTGGCGACTAATTAAATTCTCAAAATAGATGTCTGCTTCGCTATCAACACACTTTTAGTAGCATAAGAAGAGTGAAACTGTATAGCCATATAAGCTACATTAAAGCACAGATACCTTAAGCTTAATTTTGAGATGCGTAAGTTACAGACTAACCAAGCTGTAAAAGGAAATAGTAGACAAAATCTTCCAAAAATAGTGATTAAAATAAACTAGGATTGGCTTAGATGAAATTGCAAAATCAGGTGCTGGTCTTGTTTGCATTAGTTTGGTAGTCCACGTTATCTCCTTGTAGTCAGTGTTGATTTGTATTTAAGAATTCAGCTCATAATACCAACTTAAAGATAACCAGTGGTGTATGTAATGTGTTGCAGATTATTCAGTAGTCACCTGCTAACATAAATGCATCTTTTTGCAAGATTCAATTATTACATATTTTGGGAATTTTAGAGTAAAAACTGCTAGGAAATAATAGTAAGTGATGCATACAGATGAGTGGAAAGGTAAATAATATTTAATTGTGATTAGGTGATACATATGATATAGCTGTGAAATTAAGTGCTAGAAACTATTGAAATAAAATGAAGATATTTTGCCCTTCCTACAACTTAGTGATTGAAGACATCCATTATCTCTCATAGAGAAGTGTTATGTCTTACACGGCTAGATGAGTGTTACTGTTGGACTTGAGTTATTTCCTGTATATAAAGTTACTTCTTAAGAAGAAAAGAAAAACCTTTTAAGAATTTTTAGTCCAAAACTGGTTTGGGTTTTTTTTGCGAGCCTTCATTTGTTAATATAGCTGTATTTTTATTTGCATATAGTAGCACTAAGAGACTTCCAACAAGCTTGATGCCTCATAAAAGCAGTTATAAGAAGTAGTAAGATACAATCCCTACCCTGAAGCATTTATAGTCTAAACAACACAAGGAAATGCAGTGAATTATGCTCTTGGTTCAAACTGTCTTTTTTTTTTGATGTATCCTGAGTAGATATTATAAATGATACTGTATTGATTTGTTGTGCTTGTGTCCTCACTGTCTTCCACTTTGAAGCCAAAATTGCCAAAATATGCAATACAGTGCTTTCATATGAAATTTTGACTTTACAACTTAGGGAAGAGATTTAAGGTAAAACAAATTTCTTAGACAAAACTGCAGGAAAATAGCAGTCCTCCTGAAATGACGCTTTCTGTGGAATTTGAAGGAGCTGAAAATTATATAAAATGTAATTACAAAATCTGTATGCATCTCACAGCATCTGAGTTTCTCAGGTCTTGCACGTCTTTGCTCCAAGTATGTATACTGAGACTCAGTAAACTTACGTGGCTTATCCAAGGTCAGTTAGTTAATAAGCGACGAAACCCGGGAAGACAACCAAAGAGTTGTGACTACAGTACTCTGACAGAGAAACTACACATAATACTTTTTTATAGCTAATGGTGCTTTTACTAAATAATATCTTGAGAATTATTATGCATAATTTATATTAAAATGGTGTACATGTTTTATATTTTTAAAAAAGCCACTTGTGTTCTGGTGCACAGCAAGAAAAAATAAGGCAACAGGGAAGGTGCAGATTCTCAGCCTCTTCTGTCTTGCCTGATCACACAGTGATAGAAAAGCCCTGGAAAGGGGGAGTTCACCTTGGAGAGCTAGCATAATAAAGCTCAGCTTGATTTGCTGCCCCCGGCAAGTGCTTTCCCACAGGGAGTGGCAGTAGCTGGTGCTAGGGATGGCAAAATACCAGGACATGCACAGATTTTGTACCTTTTTCCCTTAGTCTCCTTTGACAGCAGAAAGCATATGAAATCCCAACTGTGAATTAAAACCGTCTTTCTGAGTGTAGCTCCAGATGTCCTGCCTCCTATGTGATTTTTCTTCTTTATTTTTATGAGGCTGTGCAGCTTGCATCTCAATGCGGTCACACAGCTCAATCCAACTTGTTAATGCTTTGATTTTAAACATTTTGACTGAGGCAGGCAAACAGGAGAAAACTGCAGTTCTTAAGGTGGAGTGCCAAGCTTCTCTTCATCACAGGGTGAGGCACTTACGCTGTGGTTCCCAAGGTGTTTGAAGAAAAATGGGTCAACATTGTCAGAGGCCTGAAAGTTTGTACTTTTTACACTTGGAAATATCACAGGACTCTTGTATTTTTAGCTCTTGACTTAGTAATATGCTTCCTATTGTAAAAGTTCACGTGATGATCTGGTGTCTTCTCTGAAATGAACTATTATAAGACTGATTTCCCCCTTTTCTTTTTTTACTGTTCCTTTTTATAGGAATTAGAGTTTCAGTAATCACATGTAATAAAACTGTATGTATAATGCAAATATACACATACTGCATATTTATTTTTCCTGCTGTGAATATTTTAGTTACATAAATAGCACTTTTGTAGGCAAAGCAAAATTATATCTACTTCTCAGCAGCACTGTAATATTTTCATAAGAGAAAACATCCTCAGTTTTATTTTAAAGACATTCTAAATTGCCCTTGCAAAGAAAATTAGAATTTAGTTTCTGCTCATGTATGTTCTACTTAGGAGAATGTAATAGCTGATTTGGATGAAATAGATCAGAACCCAGGAAGGAAATGTGATACTCTGTAGGTCTCATAATAGATCTCTACAAAGGAATTGAATCTACTTATTTTAGAGAAAGGCTTCCTTCAGAAGGATTTGGATCAGATCTCTGATGAACAAGATGTTCATGTTGATGAACAAGACAAAGCAGAAGAAACTGTATTAAAATTTAAACCGATAGAGTCAGTTTTGATCAACTGCTGTCCTTAGGGGAAGGATGTAATCTAAGTGTTCAGGACTAGTCTTGGTAGAGGATACATGACAGCAGAGTTTTGCCCAGTTCTGTTGGGTTAGACCAAAAATCCACCTACCCCAGAATCATGTGACTTGTAATGGGTGCCTGGGAAAAGGGTATTGGAAACAAGGCACTTGCAGTGTAGTTGTTTCCATGCCACATCCTTGTTTTTAGAAATGAATGGTTTACAGCATCCTTATCTGGAAGTCTGTAATTCAGCCAATATATTTAATAGCTCTTGATGGACCTATGAACTTGGCTAATCCCTTCTGTGAAGCCCAGTTGTACTGTAAAACATTAGCTGTTAAGGATTTATTTAGGTAGAGTCTTGTGGTGTAAAAGAAAATGCTTCATTTTGCATAGGTTTAGCCCACTGGCTAATAATCTTATCACATAACTTGTAACAGTTGTTCCACTTCACCTTTTTTGCACCATTTGAGTTTTAATGTGCCTTATAGTTGTCTTCAACTGCCCTTGAGGCATCCTAAGTCCCACTTTGCATGAAGCCACTCATGGCTGAGGGATCGGTTCTATTGCTCGACTATCCTCACTGTCTTCCCCTGCTCCTGATCCAGTTCTTGAGATGCTGAAATTAAAACATCAAAATTTGGGTATATCATGAGTTAGACTGTGACACTTAGAATTTCCATTTTGTTCTCAGTTCTCTGTTGTGTATTCATGAACATTTTATGTTTTTGACCCTTGCTGAGCTGTTACATGGCCGTTTCCTTCACTGTTTTACCTCGTGACAAGGCTCTAAGAAACTTCAGTGCTTAAAACTGTATTATTTTGAATAAAATTTATGCTGATTACTATGAAAACTACCAGTACTCACAGGAAAAAATGTTACGCTGCAGATGTATTAGAAGCAAAAACCACAAATACTTTTGCAATGTAACTTTTTATCAACCATTACTTTTAATAACTGTAGAAAATGAACTAGAATCGAGAGCTTTTTCTGCTTCCTACCAAACATTATTTGCAAATG